ACACACACACACACACACACACACACACACACACGAGCGGCCTATGTAGGGAAGTAAAACATGGTGAATGGGAATTCCAGGAAAGCCATTTGGCTAGCTAAGCAAATTGGCCACGAAGCTCATTCCCCTTTGCCCCTTCTTCCTCTCTCTGATGTCAGTAACTCGGGTGAGATGGCTGGATTCTCAGCAGCTACTGAAGACTCTGAGGTAACCTTTAAGGCCAGCAGGCCACTCACTAAAAAAGGCAACATGGAGAGACAAAGATACAGAAACTTTCTTACTGACAGAGCTACCACACTAGCTGTGGAATGATAGCCTTTGGACTTCATTCAAAGAGAAAACCGATGTTTATCTTTTTTTTTTTCTTTTTTTTTTTCTTCTTTTTTTTTTTTTTTTGAGAGGTTTTTGCTATAGGGTGCATGCTTTTGCCAGAAAGCCAGGCAGAGACAGAAATACAGAAAGTGAGAGCAATCACCCCGCCAGGGGGATAGCCACGCCACAGTCCTTTCTCATCCATTCTCCTCTCAGGATCTTGGGCACACGTGCACATGTGCCCAGCATGAGTTTAAGCCACTGGATCTGGGACTCAAACCGTGGTTGACCACATGGGAGTCCAGTGACATAGCCATTACGCCATCTGCTGATCCCACCAATGTTTATCTTAAGCCATTGTTTTGCATGTTTAGATACAAAGTAAAATGATGAATGGGTTGCCAGGCCTCATCAAATTTCCAAAGGGCATCCATGTGATACCATTAACATTTCTGCATTAAGAATGGAGTAATCTGTCAATATTCCAATGAATGGGTCAGACGGTGGCATGGTAATTAAGGTGGCTGAGTCCCACATGGCCCACAATGTGGTCTGAGCCCCAGACCCAGCAGCTTGAAAAAACACGCCAGGTACATGTACATGTGTGCCAAAAATCCTGAAAGGAGAATGGAGGAGAAGGGACTGTGGTGTGGCCATCTCCCTGGGGGATGATTTCTTACTCTCTCTCTCTCTCTCTCCAGCAAGCCCATGCACCCTATAGCAAAATCAAAAACCAAAAATACAGAAACTATTTCACTGAGTGTTTTTCTATTTAACAACACTTGATAGCCAACAGCAGTATGGCATTTAAAATGACGTCCTGGTG